GACCTGTAAAGAGGGGCCTCTGCTTGGCATGCAGGAGGTCCCAGGTTCAATCCCCGGCATCTCCAGTTAAAAAGGACCAGGCAGGAGGTGATGGGAAAGACCTCCGCCTGAGACCCTGGAGAGCTGTAAAGAGGGGCTGTGGCTCAGTGGAAGAGCCTCTGCTTGGCATGCAGAAGGCCCCAGGTTCAATCCCCGGCATCTCCAGTTAAAAAGGACCAGGCAGGAGGTGATGGGAAAGGTCTCCACCTGAGACCCTGGAGAGCTGCTGCCAGTCTGAGTAGACAATACTGAATTCGATGGATCGCTGGTCTGATTCAGGTATCAGGCAATTCCAGGGTGTTCATACCCCTCAAAATCTCCTTGGACCCTAAGGTGCTAGTGGACTATCCCACGCAGTGCTTGATTCGTATGGAGGCCCCGTAACATGGGTGCGAGTCCTCCCCCTCAAAGGCCGCACCGAACAGGTCTCTGCTTTGACCAAATAATTTATTTTGGTTTCTTTCGTTTAACCATTTCAAACGCTGCCTTTCCGCCCAAATTGGTAGTGAACGATGAAAGATATACATAGGAAGGGGTGCCAAGCGAAACTGAGACATCGTTGCCCGCTAGCAGAAGGCAGTGATACCCATGTAGGGCCAGCGTGCGGGTCTCTTCCAACTTATGGCGGCTCTATGAATTCATGACCTCCAAAACGTCCTACCGTTAACAGCCTTGCTCAGGTCTTGCAAACGGAGGGGCCCCCGCGGCGTCCTCGATGGAGTCCACCCATCTCCTGTTGGGTGTCAGGTAGCCCTGTCATAGATCAGGAATATCGTTCCCAGCTCTCTCCTGCTCAGCTACTGTTTGCTATCTTATGCTTGACCTTGTAGAAGTTCCAGCTGCCGTTTACACGGCTGGGAAAGTTAACGGCTTCTCTGCTATGCCCGCTTGCTTTCCCCGCGCACACAAAACATATCCATTGGCTCATGCTTACAGGGGGAGTGTTTGATTTCACTGTAAGTCAGAGGCCATTCCTGACACTTAGTCAGGCTCCCTAGTCAGGTCACACCACACAGGGCTTCAGAAGAAGATAACTGTTTATTAGTGGATCCAGTACTAAAGAACACGTGTACAGCTTGTGTCAGGAATGGCCGTCAGTACTAGGGCCTCTGACTTACAGTGAAATCAAAGCAGTAGAACTTTTGCTCACAAGACTCTCCACAGCTTAGAAGGAACACTGCAGGACTCCTGTTTGTAGGCAGGGAAAAGGCTCGAAAGGGAGTGTATAGGGTGGGGCCAGTGTTCCCTCTCAGCTGAGTTAGTGCGAGCCAGCTCATGGTTTATTAGCCTCCGGCGCACACATTTTTGTCTTCGCTCAGGAAGGAGGGCTCCAAAGCAAACTAATGTATGCAGCAGCCAAATCGCTCACTCACAGCTTTAATGCCGGCAGCTCACAAAGTAGAACTTTTGCTCACAGGACTCTGTACAGCTTAGAGGGAACACTGCAGGACTCCTGTTTGTAGGCAGGGAAAAGGCTCGAAAGGGAGTGTATAGGGTGGGGCCAGTGTTCCCTCTCAGCTGAGTTAGTGCGAGCCAGCTCATGGTTTATTAGCCTCCGGCGCACACATTTTAATCTCAGCTCAGGAAGGGAGGGCTCCAGAGCAAACTGATTGATGCAGTAGCCAAACGGCTTGCTCACAACTTTAATGCCCGGAGCTCACAAAGTAGAATCTTTTCTCGTAAGGCTCCACAGCTTAGAGGGGAGCATCGCCCCCCATCCCCAGCCGGTGGCCGGGGGAACCCAGCAACCCTGGTCTTCCGCCCATTTGAGAGAGCTCACAGGTAGACACGACTTGGAATGAGAGACAGCCCCGCCCTGCCCCAAACGGGCTGAGATCCAGCTGTGATTCTTCAAATGGCTCTCAGTGGTGCTTGAATCGCTTACCAGTTCTTGGGGAGCGTCGGCCGGCTAGCCAGCACTGCAGGCTGGTGGACTGACGCCGCCGACAAACTGGTCAGCAGCACACAGGCTGGATGAAAAAGCTTCTACAGGTCTTGATGAGGCTTCCTGGAATGCTTTGGGTCATACGATACATAAGAACATCGTCAGAGCCCTGCTGCATCAGACCAGTGGTCCATTGAGTCCAGCCTCCTGTCTCACCCAGGGGCCAACCAGTTCCTCTGGAGGGCCAGCAACAGGGCAGAGAGGCCGAGGCCTTCCCCTGAGAAGAACATCAGAAGAGCCCTGCTAGATCAGACCAGTGAGGGTCCATCCAGTCCAGCCTCCTGTCTCACACAGGGGCCAACCAGTTCCTCTGGAGGGCCAGCAACAGGGCAGAGAGGCCGAGGCCTTCCCCTGAGAAGAACATCAGAAGAGCCCTGCTAGATCAGACCAGTGAGGGTCCATCCAGTCCAGCCTCCTGTCTCACACAGGGGCCAACCAGTTCCTCTGGAGGGCCAGCAACAGGGCAGAGAGGCCGAGGCCTTCCCCTGAGAAGAACATCAGAAGAGCCCTGCTAGATCAGACCAGTGAGGGTCCATCCAGTCCAGCCTCCTGTCTCACACAGGGGCCAACCAGTTCCTCTGGAGGGCCAGCAACAGGGCAGAGAGGCCGAGGCCTTCCCCTGAGAAGAACATCAGAAGAGCCCTGCTAGATCAGACCAGTGAGGGTCCATCCAGTCCAGCCTCCTGTCTCACACAGGGGCCAACCAGTTCCTCTGGAGGGCCAGCAACAGGGCAGAGAGGCCGAGGCCTTCCCCTGAGAAGAACATCAGAAGAGCCCTGCTAGATCAGACCAGTGAGGGTCCATCCAGTCCAGCCTCCTGTCTCACACAGGGGCCAACCAGTTCCTCTGGAGGGCCAGCAACAGGGCAGAGAGGCCGAGGCCTTCCCCTGAGAAGAACATCAGAAGAGCCCTGCTAGATCAGACCAGTGAGGGTCCATCCAGTCCAGCCTCCTGTCTCACACAGGGGCCAACCAGTTCCTCTGGAGGGCCAGCAACAGGGCAGAGAGGCCGAGGCCTTCCCCTGAGAAGAACATCAGAAGAGCCCTGCTAGATCAGACCAGTGAGGGTCCATCCAGTCCAGCCTCCTGTCTCACACAGGGGCCAACCAGTTCCTCTGGAGGGCCAGCAACAGGGCAGAGAGGCCGAGGCCTTCCCCTGAGAAGAACATCAGAAGAGCCCTGCTAGATCAGACCAGTGAGGGTCCATCCAGTCCAGCCTCCTGTCTCACACAGGGGCCAACCAGTTCCTCTGGAGGGCCAGCAACAGGGCAGAGAGGCCGAGGCCTTCCCCTGAGAAGAACATCAGAAGAGCCCTGCTAGATCAGACCAGTGAGGGTCCATCCAGTCCAGCCTCCTGTCTCACACAGGGGCCAACCAGTTCCTCTGGAGGGCCAGCAACAGGGCAGAGAGGCCGAGGCCTTCCCCTGAGAAGAACATCAGAAGAGCCCTGCTAGATCAGACCAGTGAGGGTCCATCCAGTCCAGCCTCCTGTCTCACACAGGGGCCAACCAGTTCCTCTGGAGGGCCAGCAGCAGGGCACAGAAGCCGAGGCCTTCCCCTGATGTTGCCTCCTGCCTGTGGGATTCAGATATTTAGTGCCTCTGAACATGGAGGTTCCCCTCAGCCACCATGGCTAGTCGCCACCAATGTTCCCTCTAAGCTGTGGAGCCTTGTGAGCAAAAATTCTACTCTGTGAGCAACTGGCATTAAAGTTGTGAGCGAGCGATTTGGCCACTGCATGAATTAGTTTGCTCTGGAGCCATCCTTCCTGAGGACAAAAATCTGTGAGCTGGAGGCTAAAAAACTATGAGGTAGCTCACACTAACTCAGCTTAGAGGGAACACTGGTCGCCACTGATAGACTTCTCCTCCATGAATCTATCTAATCCCCTATTAAAGCTGTCTATACCTGTGGCCAAATGATCCATTCCCACCCAAGCTCGAGCAATGGACCTATGAGCACCTTTTATCCAAGAAGGTTATCCTCTTCCGGGCTCTCTCTCTGTCATTTTGGCACCCTGTAATTCACTTTCGTTTTTTTCGGGGGGGCGCTTGTTCCCTTCCCCAGGTTGATGCAGGTGAAGGCGGAGCGCGAGGAGTTTGAGGAGGAGCTGAAGGAGATGCGCGAACGCTTCTCGGCGATGCGGCAGGAGGCGGATCAGGCCCGGAACGGTGCTGGGGATGCGAGTGAGGCCGACTCCCTCCGGAAGGTGTGCTGGGTTAGGGAAGCAACGCTGTGGCGAGGGGACATGTGGACGGGGGGGGGGGGGGGGGGTTTTTGTTTAGGGGGGGGGGGGGAGGATTACTGTCTCTTCGGTTCTGGAAATTCCGGGACCTGGGTAGTTCCAGGAGGTGGAGCCTGTCGGACTGCAGATGGTCAGGGGCGGGGCTAATGGCAAAAAGAGTTTTCTATTGGTTGACGGCGGTAGGGCATGGAAGGCAGGGAGCCCTCTGCTTCAAAAGTGGTCCAAGATGGTTATCAAGGAGTTACTCGCATGGCTGCTGCAAGTTCACGCTGACCTCAGCCTTGGGAGCCAAACTCCAAGCCCCTCGAAGCGCATTTGTGAATTCCAAGGACATGCAATGATTAAACACATAGGGTTGGATCCTGTCGTTGAGAACCACGGGATCCAGCCCGTTGCTGCCTGGTGGCGTGAATCCCCCTAAAGTAGCGGGTTCACTCTGCATGAACTGTTGAAACGGCCCAGATTTCTATTGTCATGCAATAATTAAACGTATTGGGCTGGGTCCCGTAGACGAGAACCACGGGATCCAGCCCGTTGCTGCCTGGTGTCGTGAATCCCCCTAAAGTAGCAGGTTCACTCTGCATGAACTGTTGAAATGGCCCATATTTCTATTGTCATGCAATAATTAAACGTATTGGGCTGGATCCTGTAGACGAGAACCACGGGATCCAACCTGTTGCTGCCCGGTGGCGTGAATCCCCCTAAAGTAGCGGGTTTACTCTGCATGAACTGTTGAAATGGTCCATATTTCTGTTGTCGTGCAATAATTAAACGTATTGGGCTGGATTCCGTAGTTGAGAACCCCAGGATCCAACCTGTTGCTGCCGATGGATTGAACCCCCCAAAACAGGGAATTTACTCTGAGTAAGCTGGTGACCGGGCCCAGGTTTCTGTCAACCACAAAATTCTTGCTGATCATCTAAAGGGTTCCCACCCCCCGCAAACCAGGCTCTTTGTGCATGGGTGTGTGTGTGTGGGGGGGGCTTTTTGTGCTGTATCCGTTCAGTTGGCTACAATGCTCCCTCTAAGCTGTGGAGTCTTGTGAGCAAAAATTCTATTTTGTGAGCTGCTGGCATTAAAGTTGTGAGTGAGCAGTTTGGCTGCTGCATAAATCAGTCTGCTCTGGAGCCCTCCCCCCTGAGCGGAGACAAAAACTGTGTGCGCTGGAGGCTGAAAAACTGTGAGCTGGCTCACACTCACTCAGCGTAGAGGGAACACCGGTTGGCTACCCTAGGAGTTGTGAGCAAGCAATTTGGCTGCTGCATAAATCAGTCTGCTCTGGAGCCCTCCCCCCTGAGCGGAGACAAAAACTGTGTGCACTGGAGGCTGAAAAACTGTGAGCTGGCTCACACTCACTCAGCGTAGAGGGAACACCGGTTGGCTACCCTAGGAGTTGTGAGCAAGCAATTTGGCTGCTGCATAAATCAGTCTGCTCTGGAGCCCTCCCCCCTGAGCGGAGACAAAAACTGTGTGCGCTGGAGGCTGAAAAACTGAGCTGTCTCACACTCACTCAGCTTAGAGGGAACACCGGTTGGCTACCCTAGGAGTTGTGAGCAAGTAATTTGGCTGCTGCATAAATCAGTCTGCTCTGGAGCCCTCCCCCCTGAGCGGAGACAAAAACTGTGTGCGCTGGAGGCTGAAAAACTGTGAGCTGGCTCACACTCACTCAGCGTAGAGGGAACACCGGTTGGCTACCCTAGGAGTTGTGAGCAAGCAATTTGGTTGCTGCATAAATCAGTCTGCTCTGGAGCCCTCCCCCCTGAGCGGAGACAAAAACTGTGTGCGCTGGAGGCTGAAAAACTGTGAGCTGGCTCACACTCACTCAGCTTAGAGGGAACACCGGTTGGCTACCCTAGGAGAGACTGGGGAGTAAGAGCCACAGCTCCTCGTGAGGTCTTGCGGCTTACGTCTTCTCCCCGTGGCTTGTCCCTTTGTGGCACAACGTCGGTGTTGCTGTCCGAGAAGAACATTCCCACCTGCAAAGACAATAAAGAGCTTTGCTGTCTTTCTATGAACCCCTTTGGTTTCCCCCGCTTTGACGGCGGCCCGGTCCAGGATGTTTCGTTCTGTGTCTGGACCCGGGCAGCCGTCAAAGCGGGGAAAACCAAAGGGGCTGATCCTTTGGTTTGGTGTAGTGGTTAAGTGTGCGGACTCTAATCTGGGAGAACCGGGTGTGATTCCCCACTCCTCCACTTGCACCTGCTGATGTGACCTTGGGTCAGTCACAAGCTCTGGCACAGCTGTCCTTGAAAAAGAGCAGTTTCTGTCAAGAGTTCTCTCAGCCCCACCCACCTCACAGGGTGTCTGTTGTGGGGAGGGGAAGGGAAAGGAGTTTGTAAGCCGCTCTGAGACTCCAAGTGAAGGGCGGGGTATAAATCCAATCTCCTCATCTCTTCTTCTTTCTCTCTCGCCGCTTCCCCGTCCCGCTCTTTGCCAGGAACTCCGGGAGGTTTGCGAACGGCTGCGGGAGCTGCTGTTGGAGAAGCAGGCCCAGGAGGAACTGCTCCGCCAGCGGGAGAGGGAGCTGGCCGCCCTGAAGGGGGCGCTGCAGGAGGAGGTGGCCAGCCACGACCAGGAGGTGGAGGAGCTGAAGCGGCAGTTCCGGGAGAACGTGCAGAAGCTCCAGAGGGACTACGAGGAGGCCTCCAAGGCAAGGAATCTGGCGGGCGGCCTCCAGTGTCCACACACCCCCATAGACCTTGAGCTTTTTGGCGGAGTGGGGACGGTTCGTTCCCTCTTGCCTTCAGGGCCCAACTTAGGTTCACCAGCTCCAGTTTGTGAACTTCTTGGTGTGCGGGGCACAACATTGAGAGGGGCTTCTAATGTCCTGGCCCCACTGGTGGACCTCCTGGTGCCCCTGGGTTTTGGCCACTGTGTGACACAAGAGTGTTGGACTGGAGGGGCCTTTGGCCTGATCCAACATGGCTTCTCTCATGTTTTTGTTTGGGCAATGATGCTCTGTATCCTTGGTGCTTGGGGGACAACAGTGGGAGGGCTTCTGGAGTTCTGGCCCCGCTGGTGGACCTCCTGATGGCATCTGGGTTTTGGCCACTGTGTGACACAAAAGTGTTGGCCTGATCCAACATGGCTTCAGTTATGTTCTTATGTCTGGGCAGTGATGCTCTGTCTTCTTGGTGCTTGGGGGGGCAAGAGTGGGAGGGCTTCTGGAGTTCCGGCCCCGCTGGTGGACCTCCTGATGGCCCCTGGGTTTTGGGCCACTGTGTGACACAGAGTGTTGGGACTGGATGGGCCATTGGCCTAATCCAACATGGCTTCAGTTATGTTCTTATCTCTGTGGCAGTGATGCTCTGTATCTGTGGTGCTTGGGGGGCAAGAGTGGGAGGGCTTCTGGAGTTCTGGCCCCGCCGGTGGACCTCCTGAGGGCACCTCGTATTTTTGGCCACTGTGTGACACAGAGTGTTGGACTGGATGGGCCACTGGCCTGATCCAACATGGCTTCTCTCATGTTCTTATGTCTGGGGCAAGGGATGCTCTGTCTTCTTGGTGCTTGGGGGGGAGGGCAACAGTGGGAGGGCTTCTGCTGTTCTGGCCCCGCCAATGGGCCTCCTGATGGCTCTCCCTCTCGCAGGTGAAGGCTGCCTTGGAAGGCGAGAAGGAGACGACAGAACAGACGAAGAAGGCCGTGGAGTCCACCCTGCGGGAGACGCAGGAGGAGAACGACGACCTCCGCCGGAAGATCCTGGGCCTGGAGACGCAGCTGAAGGAGCACCGGCACTTTGCGGAAAACTGGCAGAGCACCGAAGCCAGGCTGAAGGAGAAGGTGGCTAAGCTGGAGGTACGGCCCGATCCTGTTCCCTCCAGTTTGGTGTGGCGGTTAAGTGGGCGGACTCTAATCTGGGAGAACCGGGTTTGAGTCCCCACTCCTTCACTTCCAGCCAGTGTTCCCTCTAAGCTGAGTTAGTGTGAGCTAGCTCACAGTTTTTTAACCTCCGGCTCACACATTTTTGTCTCAGCTCAGAACGGAGGGCTCCAGAGCAAACTAATGTATGCAGTAGCCAAACCGCTTGCTCACAATTTTAATGCTAGTAGCTCACAAAGTAGAATTTTTGCTCACAAGGCTCCACAGCTTAGAGGGAACATTGCTTGCAGCTGCTGGATGACCTTGGGCAAGCCACAGTTCTCTCAGAGCTCTCCATGGCAGTCATCGAAAGAGCTCTCTCAGCACCACCTGCCTAGGTGGGATGGGAAATACCTGGAGATTTTGCAGGTGTAGCCTGGAGACAGTGGGGTTTGAGGAGAGACCTCTGCAGGGTATAAATGCTCTGTCCAAGGCAACCGTTTCCTCCAGGGGAACTGATCTGTATTGTTCGGAGAGCAGGTTGGCACCCTAGGCTTGGAGCAGTCAAGGGTGTTCTAAAACTGCCACTACTCTGCTTCTAGGGCAGGGTTCCCCAACACGGTGCCCACTTACGCCTTTCTCGGTACCCACCAGATGTTTTTAGAAAGCGGCTTGGGCCAGGCGGCGCTTTTGCCCAGCAAGGCTTTTGATTGGCCATTAGAAGAAGAGAAGAGAAGAGATTGGATTTATACCCGGCCCTTCACTACCCAAAGGAGTCTCAGAGTGGCTTACAATCTCCTTTCCTGTCCCCTCCTCACAACAGGCGCCCTGTGAGGGAGGTGGGGCTGAGAGAGCTCTTGAGAGAATTGCTCTTGAGAGAACAGCTCTGAGAGAACTTGTGACTGACCCAAGCTCACACCAGCAGCTGCACGTGAAGGAATGGGGACTCACACCCGGTTCTCCAAGATTAGAGTCTGATTAGATTAGATTAGATTAGATTAGATTAGATTAGATTAGATTAGATTAGATTAGATTCCGGGACTCCTGACTACTACACCAAACTGGCTCTCAGATTTTGATTGGCTGTGGAGTACAAACTGATTATTATTGTTGATATTGCATGTAGTGAATATATTGCATGTAATGAATATATACCTGTTTTAGAATATTATGAATAATACACAATGCACTTTATAAGATGGAACATATAGAACACTTTAACTTATAAATAAGGTTTTTGCAGTGTATATATTTGTTGTTTGACCCACCAGGAGGTTGTCAAAAAACTACTTATGCCCTGTAATAAAACGCTAAATAAATTAGCTAAATAAATTCCTAACCGTTCATATTGGCTGCTGGTCACACACAGTAAACAATCCGCTTTCGATCCACTTCCCAACCGGACTTTACTGTGTGAACTGGCAACATCCAGTTGGAAAGTGCATTGAAAGTGGATTGAAAGTGAATTGTTTATTGTGTGTGACCGCAGCCGTTGTGTTTCAGAATTGTTTCAACGGTATCTCTCCTTATATATAATTGAATAGTGGGTGCCAAAGTTCTAATTCTAAAATGCACTCCCTTAGTGTATGGCTGATGGCACTGCTCCTCAGCATATATCGCCACCAATCAGAAGGCAAAGCCCGGGTCCCGCCCACACCACAACTGCTGCGACAACCTGGTCTTTTGCATATGGAAGCTGATTGGACTTCAGGCCATTCCCCCCCCCAAACCCCCCCCCCCCCCCCCAGGTTCATGTTTTAAATGCAGACTGACACTGTTTGCCCAAAGCCAGAGCACTCTCCCAGAGCCTCTTTCTAGATCTCGTTGTATTTATTTCCACAACGGGCCTTATTTCTAGTATGATGTATAATTGTGTAAGTTTTGTAATGAAATAATTGCACACAATAGATAAATACTACTATGCACAACTTCAGTTACCTTGATTTATTTAGTGTTTTATTACAGTGTATTTGTAGCTTTTTGACGTCCCCTGGACACTGTAATCCATGGGGTGTCAAACATGCGGCCCGGGGGCCGGATGAGGCCCCCGGAGGGCTCCTGTCAGGCCCATAGTGGGAACCGGCTGTCTTCTGCTTCTTCTTCCAGTTCCGCTACTGCTGCTGCGTCATTGTCGGTTTGCAGCTTACAGATAACACACCTGAACAGCACACTCAAGATTGCAATGGCACAGCCATTTTGATGCCATAATTCAGAGCAAGAGGTGTCAGTGATCAGGCACTGTTACGTAAACAAAACATTGCAGGAGTGCTCATGTTTTAAGCGTGTTTTTATTTTCAGTAAAAAAAAAACACCTTGTGTTTGTGCCCTTTATGAAGTTTATATCTCTCCGCTGCCTGGCATTACCTTTTATGACACACACGGTCCGGCCTGACAAGGTCTCATTTATGTCAGATCTAGAGATGTAAAATTTCCGGAAATTTTGAAGCTCGAAAAAAACCCCGGGTTTTTTCCAGTTTTTTTCGGGGGG